CACGTTCATGGTGAAGTGTTATTTCGAAGCGTTTCTCCATATATATTATTCTACGCGCAATAAATTCCAGATTCCCGATAGATTGTATTTTGATGCTGTCTTTTCATACAAGTGTATTGTGTATTATTCAAATGATGTATCTTTAGGAGTTACCACGTGGATCTAGAAATTAGCTTCAAGCCTACAAGTTCGTCTTTCCGAAACTGAAAATGGCAGTTCAAAGACTTCGCAATGGTACCTATAATATTTTCTATGATCATAGATATTTCTAACTTTTTACAACAATTGAGATATAGATGATAAAAGTAAGACGAGGAGAAAAACAAAAAAGTTAAGATCAAGAAAACTACAGAATAACAGTATTATTAACAAAATTGTGAGGCAACACCTATGCTATTACTATTACGATTCTTAATTCTATTATTAATAGTAATGTTGAAGGTGAGTAATGTTGATAACTATAGAATAATAATAACGACATTATTATTAATATCATAAGGATAATATTGATGATAGAAATAATAATAATAAATATTATTAAGATAATAATAATGACAATAGTAATAATAACTCTGATAATAATAATTTTATTAATGATATGTTCATAATGATAATGATGATAATGAAAATAATATTACAAATTATAAAAACCTAATAATACTAATAAATATATGCATAAAGCTAATAATAAAAATAATAAAAATTATGTAGAGATCACAAATTAATGATAATGATAATACTAATAATTCTGATGATAATGACAATAATAACAATAATAATGAAGGGGAAAATAAATTAATGATTATGATCTTACTATTATAAATACTACTACTACTACTGGTAATAATAATAATAATAATGATAATAATGATAATATAAATAAAAAGAATAATATTAATAATAATAATAATAATAATAATGATAATAATAAAATAATGATAATAAGAACAGCAACAATAGTAATAATGATAATAATGATAATAATAATGATAATAATAATAATGATAATAAAAATACTACTAATAATA